CTTCAATCAAGACAACTTTGATGAGATTGGGGTTGTGAATTTGCTGAATGTGCATGTCATTTCAAATTTTTAAATTGAGTCTCTGAGGCTTCAACCACCCACAAACGATGGCTTTTGTAACGCGTTTCGATAGAAGTCAACAAAACCGCATCAACCGTTATGCCTGTGCGGGTGTGCCTCACTGCGAGCACAAATGCAGTCTCTCCCCTAGGGGAAGGAGGTGCGGAGGCTTCCACAACAGCAGTGAATTTTCCTCGTTTTTCTGCGTCTTTTCACCTTCCCACACATGAACAGGCACAGACATAATTTGGGGTGTGCAAATTTGTGCGGCAAGATTTGTGGTGCAGCTCCCACGGGTAAGTGGGTGGGGCAGTGGGCAACGCAGCATCGATAATCGTAAATCACTTTGATCAACTTGAAGTCACCTAAGAAAACTGCAAGAAGAGTCAAAGGACTCCATTAAATATGGCGTAATTTTGTGAATAAAAAGTTTTGATGCCTCGTCTGGTAGTGAATAAACTTTGATCAACGCAGATACTACTTAAATGGCATTTAGGAAAGATGAAAATCATGGCTTGTAGTTGTGAGTTGCAAAGCTTATTATTTTGGTCGTTAGTTTAGCTTTTTTTTTGGTATACTGAACTCAGTCATTCGTCCTTACAAAGTTATAATTTTACTGGACTTTAAAATGTCAAAAATGGGTGGTGTTGAGCCAATTTGGGGGAATACTTTGTTCACAATTTATGCCGAATTGGCAGCTAAAGCGATTTCCAAAGGACATATAAGACATTGACCAACATTCAAGCATTAGAGATAGCATGAGCTTGCACTGAGATCACTTCAGCTATGCATTCCCCATTGGAGCTGTAAATTGGTGCACCAGGTAAGTGTGGATGGGAGCGGTAATGTGCTCCAGCACCTAGACCATGCACTAAAGCTAGAGTTGAGCCTAAAGCGAAATTCCAGTTACTCTCCGCCTACAGTTAATAATTAATTACTTCGCGTCGTGTTAGAAGCACAGGCGCCCCGAGGAAAAGGACTCACGAATTGCTATTTAACCTGGTGATGCGTCTTGACATTTTGTGAAACGGAGACGAGAGTAGTGACATCAAATTGGCACGTGACGCTTGAGATGAGATTAGTCGCCTGGCAAAACACTCCTGACCCTGAATTGATCGCTTTTTATCAGTAAAAAAAATAGGCAAATGCACATGAACAAGCACGTACGCACGCAAGTACGGGCGCATGCGTGCGACGAGATTGAAAGCTGATTGGCTGAGAAGCGGGTGATGTGACGATGTTGAGCTGAGGTTTTACTCACGCCCTCAAAACTGAAACCTGCCATTCTATTGTTCTGCCAAGGCTTGAAACATTGTACGGGCTGTTTCGTAGGCGACTTCCTGAACGTGTATCCAACCCAGGTCTCGGCCTCCTCCTCTTTCATCGCTTAAAATGCGTTGATACCCAGTTGACTCCCATCTTCAGCTTTTTTTCACAATCTTCTCTTCTCATAGTGTTGGTAACCTCGTTGTTTGCCGATATTTGTGTCCTTTTTTCCAGCTTTTGTGCATTTTTCTGGTCAAGTGAAGGCAAATCCTTGGATTAGTGAATCCATTTACCTAAAAGGTCTAAGTGTTTTTGGCAATGCTCTCCGTGGAGCACTTGAGAAAGGCAAGAATGTTCTTTGCTTCCACCTCAAAATAGATGCCTGCAGTAAGCGCATGAAATATTCTCAAACTGGTAACACATTTTTGAGGGAAATTGCACTTGGTGTGCTCGTGACGCCTTGATTGGGATCAATTTCTTGTCCCCAGCCTCTCCTTCAAGGTGTCGCCTTATTGTGACACAAAACTGGTCGCACTTCAAACGCAAAATTGCCGCATTTTTACTTTTAGAGAATTACTTGCGTGTTTGAAGGGGGAGAAAACATTGAAGTCTTATTTATTGCATTCATTTTGATACTACTACTTATTTCTGCACTTAGCACGTTGGAAGGTGATTTTTTAAAGACTAATGTTGATTGAAAATAGCATGTCTAGGTCCGTGTCCATTTACACTGCCCTTTAGAGTGCTGTCACGTCAGCACGGAGGTCGAGTTGTCTCTGAGCACCGATCACGAACCGTCCAAAATGAATCCCATTGGTCCAACGTTAATGGCAAGTCCTTGGTTTCTTTGACGCCCTCTAATCCACTCACATGCACATGTGTCTCCAAGCCGTTAATGTGAATGTGATGCTGCAGGTTTGGGATGTTCAATGGGCAGTCTGCACGGTGGCAGCTTCACAACTGGTCCAGGACAAACCAACCACATGACCCTCGACACAATGGACAGTCGTCATACCTTGACACAGACAAATGACCTCTCGTATCATTGGTTCCGACCCAGTGCAACACGTCAAGAGGCCATACAGATGCTCATCAACAAGGAGCCCGGACGTTTCATCATACGTGCAAGCAAATCTCAGCCAGATTCCTACGCTCTTGTTGTTCGAGTGCCACTAACAGCCGGTGAGATTTGAAAATCGCGTTTTAATCAAGTGTACTAGTGGATGCTTACGTTGTGTTGACTTTTTGAACCCTGAGTTAATTTG